ATAAAGTTTGTTTAAATAATTGTTTTGACTTCTAGCGAGTAGACTGCTCTGTAATACGGGTCGTAATATAAATTAGACATGCTGTTACATTTTCTACAAAAACTGTTATCTTTCACCTTTGATAGTTAGTACTTTTGAGTTCTATGGAAAGAAACCTTTGCACAGCAAAATAAATTAGACTGTCCTTCCTAAGCAATAATATGACTTTAAATGTACTTAGTCATCTTGATGTAATTAGATCATGACTGATAGCATAAAATTTAAAGCACTAGGGCGCTTTTTAAAAGAAAAAGAGCTCTTTTATTACTAGTGGCACGGTGAGCTGCTCAAACGTTTGGGTTCGCCTATTTTCTCTGATTATATGAACGACACAGTCAACTTTCCTATTTTACATTAGTTCGAACTGAATAATTATGAATTCTATCCAAATACCAATGTCGTATTATGGAAGGTTAACAATCTATAGCTATGTCTAATACTGGAAATCTCAAACCGAAAACCCTGTTTGTTGACATGTTCTTTTATTCGGTTACCCTTTGAAAATATCTTGAAATGAATGTATTGGGTTTCATGTATTTGACACCTAAGGGAAGAACGAATGTTTTTGTTACATGAACTAACATTGAACCTTCGCTATTGAAGATGAGTAAAGTATATAAGCTAGTTAAAAATATTTATAGAATGTAATTTTTACATAATTACAATTTGAATGTATCTTAGAAATTATTGCGTAATTTCATAAATGATGCTGAGAATTCCTTACTGTAAGAAATTCATAGTAGTGAACAGACTGATTGTTAATGAAATTATTAGTCGTTTCATAGAGGAATGATGAACCGTTACCTGAATCAATTCAGGAAGCTAGACGTATGCTGTTAAATTTAGAAAAAATGCTGTTTAACAGAATATTTAAGTATGAACTTAGCATAGTTCACTCCTTATATCTCTAAAATAGAGAGTAAATATTGCTATCCAAAGTTCCATTAACAATCAGTAAATAGACGTAGTTATCAGAAGCTAATAGATTCACGAAGCGAAACAATAACTATTGTTTAGAAAAGTCAATTAACCTTATAAACCATCTTCATTCTCGGATATATTACACTTCAAGTCGATTTAATACTGTTGTCACGTCTATTCTGGATATCCTTCATGTTGTAATTTTATCCATAATGATATAGAATGCATTTTTGTAAATATCATTCTTTACCTAGAATTTATGAAATTTCTTAATTAGTTTTATAATTAAAAAAAGAATTCCATTTATAGTCATGTAATAAAAGTAACTCTATGGAATTATTCTGTTCTTTTGTAACCATTTTTGACAAATTATTGATTACTATTGTAGAAATGTTTATATTTGTGAATAAACCGATGCAAAAATGATAAAGGTTGATGGAGAATCATATTCATGACGTATGTTTACATTGCCTTCATCTCAATGGATTCTTACTACAGGATACATCATGTCAAGATAATTTATATTCCATAAGTTATTATGTGACAAAATATTTGTTGTGAAGTCGATAAAGGTAGTTTGCAGAAAACCTTGCTCCTAGTCAGCTGCATGATACTTATGTTGACAGATATAAGTAGTGTGTAACACTAACTAGAAGTGATATGCTTGGCAGTAGATTAAGAAGATTGAATTGAGGGGAACAGAAATGAAGACAGAAAGCAACTTTAGCAACAACAGTACTGGGAGAATCATGAAGCATGCAAAGGACAACTGATGAAAAATTTGCAAATAACGTATTAAATGTATGGTTTTCGAATTTTACTAAAGCACTGTGTGATTCTGCAATAAACAATAAAAATGTTTTAGCCCAACCCCCTACTTAGATCTTTGTTCGTTGCACCAGATTTCTTATTAAATGACACTCATTGGCAAGGATTGGTTGTATTCATAAGAAAATTAATGGTCAACTTAGGATTCAAGGACTCGTCATCCAGCTGGGGCGTTACGACTGAATAACTCGGCCCTCGAGTGACTTCTTTTAGAAGTGAGATATTTACACTGATCGATCAGTGAGTCCATCAATACTGAACAAATTTTCTCAATCTATAGTACAAAAACATGACACTGGTGTATACTGAATAACTTGTCTCACATATTATTTGAATAATAAAATCAATTTCATTTTATCAAGAATATTAGGGATTCTAGATTATAGGTTCTTTGAAAAAATAATCAAAATCTCATGAATCGCCTGTTTGCATATTATTTCAATATCAAAGTTTATAACGAAACTAAACATAAAATTCCATTTGTAAACTTATGATTCGGTAATTTTCTTCAATAAAAGTAAATAAAATAATGCGGATGATCAAAAAATAATTTTTTATAGTTTAAATTTCCAAAGTTTAGTTTTCATTTGAAAACAGTTTAATGTATCTAGAATTCTTACCCATACCTAAATACTTTCTGTTTCAATTTCAACGAAGAAAAACACGATTTAAGCTTTGACAAGTGTGCCGCTTTATTCGATCGTTTCTTCATGTGTATATTGATCAATTTGAAGCCGTGACCAGTGGAGCTAATGCGTGTCGGGTAGAAACAGGTGTCTAATTCAGTACAATGGAAGATCGTCGCGCAACTTTGTGGATTGGTTGAGATTAGACACTAACACCATTGACTGCCGGCTCAGTGGTCTAGTAGGTTAAGCGTTAGCACGCGAGACTGAAAGCCCTGTGTTCGAATCCTACGGGCAGGATCGTGGATGCGCACTGCTGAGGAGTCTCACAATAGGACGAAACGGCCGTCCGGTGCTTCCAGGTTTTCTTAAAACTAGCAGCCTTTCAAGTTTATACATATTAGGAATGCAATATCTGCACTGCTATTGTCAGATAATAATCTCATAATGGTGTTTATCAAATTGAATTCTAAACTTCAAATTAATGAAATCTAGCTAGATGGTTTAAGGTTATTGTAATAGCTAAAAGACCTAAAGGTTAATGTTTCCAGTTTATTAAAACTTACGACTGTATACTACTGAAAAGTTGCAAACTAGGATTGAAAGATCGATTAATTGTCTCATAGTTTCCAGTAATCCTCTAACTAATTTCAATCTATTCTAAAAAATAATTAATAAATTCAGTTATCAAATTTGTATTTGACAAATTTTACAAAAAACTTTTTTTAGTTTTCATTTTGACTTTTAATGTTAAAGTCCATCATAAAGTAGAGAGAAAAAAGACAAAAATACAAAAACCTATTTATTCATCTATCGTTGATATAATGCATCGTGTATTTACAACAATCATTAATGAGTATTCCAATATGACTTTTAGTTCAAATAAATAATGATTAATTGCCATGAAATAAAAAGAAAACTATCTGATAAATACATTAATAGAATTATTTCATTCAGTTTACATGGTTAGAGACAGGTATTTTATCGACAACAACAGCAACACCAACAAAAAATAGACGGATTATTTGTTCCGGTCATTATTAAAGACCATTTCTGAAAATCAAATTTGAAAACCTACTATTTAGTATTTAATTTTAGCGAAATTATCTGTAAGTGATTTGGTTATTTAATGATTAATGGATTTCTACATTTGCTTTGTGTTGATGAATAAGAAATTTAACTGTTTATAAACTTTAGTTCTCTGTGCTTCCCTCTCTCTCTCTCGTTCTCTGTATGTATATAAATGACTCATATGAAAATTAAATGCTTACGGGATTTGTTTCAATCATTTATCATTGTTCATTAATAAACGAGATTACCCTATACATGTTATAATGATAAAATAGGATGTTTGATTTTATTATTTTAAATTGATTTCCATTGTACATAGGATGTAAATAAACGAGGTGACTTAGTGTTCTCTCAATATTCAGTCAAACTTAAATACAACTTTAGTATAAGTTTGACAGTCGTTGCGATTACAGTTCTCATGTATATATATTATTAACCTAATATGTAGAGAACAAAAGTTCTGGGTCTTTGTTCAGCTATATTCAAAATCGTAAACCGAAGATAAAGTGAGTCCCTACAAAACCTCCAGTGCTCTCGTAAATATTTTCATCTTTGGAGTTGTAACTGATAGTTGGTAGTAATCAACAGAATATCGACCTTAATTTTGTGTTAATCGGCAGTCGTCGGTAAACTGTATTTACAATCTCAAGGGGAACTATACTCCGCATAAGATTTGAGAAGCATCACCAGCAAGTTGTTTGTGTCATTGTTGAAGTTCTGCGAGACAAATGTGTTTACGTTAATTGGTTATTAATTAGTGACGTAGTCGAATCCTGAAAAACATCTAACACAGTGTACCATGAACTTAAGTCAAACAAACAAGTGACTATATTATAACTCAATCAATGAAATTTGATCAACACAATGACATAGTGGTAGCATGGATGTCGCCAGACATATTAAGTTCTTGCGCTAACAAACTCTTTCGAGATCAACACGGTAGATGATAGACTGAGCACACCATTGTGTTAAGACGATTTTATATGTAACCAAAATTTTACCCTTTATTTTTTATATGGATTAAAGGGATAGATACATATATACCTAGCGTACAGTTTGTTTTTAATTTTCTATTAATTTTAGTGTTTTCATTTGAGATCATGTGTTTAGGCTACCATAGGAGACTGAACTGGACAGCAGAATATGACACTTTGTCAATGATCAGTTATTCTTTCTTGATATTACTGTTTTACTTATTTTACCTTTTGAATATTAATATATGTCAGTAAGAACGTGTTCTTAATGATAACCTCATATGGAATTGGCTATATGTTATATGGTCTTTCACTATTATTCTAACCTTATAAGTTTGTGATTTATAGCAAAGACAGAATAAACCACTAAATTTAATTATCTTATTGTTACTGTAATATAGAGGCTAAATGATGATAAACATTTCAATTATCAAATCAATACACATGAAAAGTATATAGATTTACTGAAGCAATCTAAGTGATACAAAATAATTAAACCACATTGTTTCGTCATTATTTATTAAAGCTAATTGTCACATACTTGATAGTTTGTTTATGTTATTCAGCCGTTTGCTTGACTGTAACTTATTTCCAGTCCATTTGTTAATAATATTTGTTTCCCAACTTTCCTCTGTTCATTCTGTATACTATAAATTTCATTTGGAGTTTAATAAGGTTTGACAATTTTCGATACATTCGGACAAGTGGTTCTGCTCTATACCATCAAACATTTGACTCTTGACGAATTAACAACGAACTGATTCAATGTAAAAAATATTTGAATCGTATATTGAATAAGTAAATGAAAAAAAAGATTAACGAACACTTAGATACAAAAATCTTTGTCAGTGTTCATCTATGAAATGAATTTAAGGACACATTTGATTGAGTTCATTTAAAGTAAATTATGATTTTTTTTAAAATGAAAGGTTTTATGGACTGATTAGTTAATTAAACTCTTGATTAAAAGGGACACTCGATATTTATATTTATTCATATAATTATAAACATTTGTGCCCTAAACTTATTAAATAAATGGACGAATGATAAATCTGCTTAATTCTTAAACTATGAAACAAAACATTTAACCCAGTACAATTAAACTACTGAAATGCATGAACAGAATATTTCATTTTAATCCAATGGTAATTTACATAAAACCATTAAACATATCGAAATTTTAATGCTCTTCTTGTGATTAAATTTTACAAACTATAAAATTCAATCTGTCATTAAGTAGATGATTTAAAACCTTCTTGTAATTATCTTGTTGTTTTACTCATGTGTTTTTCTTTATGATATTTAAGTTGTTCACAAATTAAGTTTACTGAGAGTTGACTTTTATCAAACACAATGAATGGAAGCAGCTCACTGATTACTTTCGTGAAACGTCATCCATTGACGAGTTCACCAAGGTTGAGTGTCGAAACTCTAGTTAATAAAATGGATGAGCTCTTATTTATAAGGATACAAGATAGAATAACAAAAGCTAAATAGTATTCAGAAGGTGATGTGAAAACCATCATCTTTACCACTATTATTCCCAATCTATTTATGACTTTCTCAACTGATTACAATCATTATAAATGAGAAATTTGAATTTGGAATTATCATAGACAATGCAATACACTTGATTCACACCTTTTTCGATCAGTCATTAGATCTACAATCTGCTGTACAATTGTGAAAACACGTTAATTGTGAAAACGTATTTCTTTGATCGATTATTGATCTTCATTAGAAACACTAATAGAAATGACTAGTTAATTAATATATATATATATATATATATATATATATCACTGTAAAATTCACTCTAGATCACTCACCAAAACTAATTTACTTTGCAGTAATATCTCACTCATTTTGACGATTTCAAAAGTCAGATTTATGAAGGAATAGAGATGAGGTTCAAAATATTTACAGCACTTCATTTTTAACTTTTAAAATCAAAGTTTGATTGTAAGTTCAAAATAATGAATTTATAATTATATGGTAGATTTTTCATGACATAATTTTTATGATATTTCTTGAATAAAATTTGATAAGAGAAACGTATTACTTTCAAAGATTACTACATATATTTTTCGTTGTTATATTCCAATGATCAGTGTGGGGTTGTGGAGTTTTTGATTGAGATCATGAATGGGTCAATATCAGAACATTATTGAAATCCTGGAAGCACTAAAAGATCGTTTCGTTCTAGTATCGGACCCTCTAACACAATTCCCCACACCCAGTTCGAACCCAGGATCTCACGTTTCGCGAGCGAACACCTAACTTCCAGACCATTTAGCCGACTTCCAACAGTGTTACTGTCTAACTTTAACCGATGAGTAGAAAAATTGTATTTCTGACGTTTTGTGACTAAATGTAAATCACTTCTTCAGACTAATATATATTTATTTATTATTAACTTTCTACCCACTGGTCAATTTATTTGAAACTATCAAGTTCAGCCTTGGCATAGATACCTATAGACTCATCAATTTCAGACATTTAGTTTAATGCTACTAACTTAACTGTTTTTCCACGAAATTACTAGTTCTCCTATTTTTAGCTATCATTAACTCAGATGACAGCGGAAAAGATAACTTCAATGTACATTTGTTGATATTTATTATTTTTTCCTCTACTAACTATTTTTTATGACTGAACAGGTACCTTATCTACAACCACTACATACATAAATGAGTTTCAGTTTATAAACGAGACCAGTTAATTTGCTCAATGCACAGTATATGGTTTCCTGTCATAGTTTATCTATTCAATCAGTCTAGTCTAGCATTAATGGATATTGAACCAATTCAATTTTTACCAGTATAAAAACAAAAACTACTGTTTTTTTATTTATTTTAAATAAATAATAGACCAATAATTCACCAATTATGAATTAATATTTCATTTTTAAAAAATTAGGAAACAAACTATATCAATTTGATGGTAAATTTACGCAATTTAAGATAGGATAGGATAGAATTATGTACATATTCAATGCACATATGGATCTTTGCTTATAATGCTTGTGACTTCAGGTAATATCAAGACAATCCGCACAGGATGTACATAAGTCAATAAGCGACTAAGTAACTGCAATGCTAAAAATCATGAGAAGATTTAAACAAACAATACAAATTGAACATATAAATTTATGCTTATTTATTAGTTGAATTCATGAGTCAATTAAACCTAGACCACCATGGAAAACATGGATGCACTGAACGGCCGTTTCGTCTTAGTATGTGACTCCTCAGCAGTGCGCATCCCCAATCCTACACTCACCAATCGAAACCAGGACATATCACTCTCTCACATGAGCGCTTAACATCTAGACCACTGAGCAGGCATCCAACGATGTTAATGTTTAACTTCAATTAGTCCACAAAATTGAGTAACACATCCACCATTATCATCAATGAGTTACTATCTCTCAACAGACCCGGTTGAAATCTCACTGCAAGAAATACCTCTTGAAGTCAGTCACCAATGACTATATGATTATTATAATCAGAGAGGGATTTTTCGGATATTATAAAAATTTAGTAGTTGGATTCATGAATCAATTGAAGCTAGACCACCATGGAAAATCTGGAAGCACTGAAATACCGTTTCGTTCTAGTATAGGACTCCACAGCATACTAGGACGTTTCATACTAAAGCAAAATATCCGTACAGTGCTTCCACGTTTTCCATGATGGTCTAGATTCATTGACTCATGAATCCAATTATTAAATTACTTTAATATCCACAAAAACTCTCTCTGAATATATGCTTATAATATGAATGATCAGTATTAATTACGATTTTTATCTGAAAATCAACATTGTTGATATAGTTATTATTAAATATATTTTTGTTATATAAATTTCAAAAAATAAAAAGAATTTTTGATTAGAAATTAAAACGAAAAAAAGTACTCATTACATACTTTGAATGAAAATTATATTCAATTTCATTTCTACCGTTTCATTGAAATTTGTAAAAACAAAAAAATTTTTTAAATTTTAAATGTCATTTTATTGTATTTTGATACCCCCCCCAAAAAAAAACTTAAAATTTTTCTCATTCTAAACTGAACTAGACAAAAAACAACACTTATATCATTAGATAAGGTTAGATAGTTTAAACTATATGTGTATCTTTATTTCAACTGCATAGTTTAAATACAAGTATATTAAAGGTAAAAAGAAGACAAGATATTCTGTAAATGATTGTTATTTATTTGAGATTGTAATATGAATTATAAATGGTATGCAAAAATAAAAACTGTTGATCGTCTAATTGAATGTTCTTGTGCTCAAATATAAAGCAATGATGACATATTTGTTGAAGTTTTTTTCATGGTCGAAACTTTACAGAAACTGACTTCGGTGAGACTATAATTTATGAATAAACCAATCAAGTATAAAATAATAGGTCTCGGATTTTGGCACGAAATTCACTTATCCATTTGGCTAAATAGATTTATGGCATTATAGCTTATGTTAGTTTGTGATGAAAACCTTAGATCTAATTCTTAACCTTAACTATCAACTGTAAATCATAATTCTAATTCGTCACACAGGTTTATAACCCTCATTTGGTCCTGGTTATTAGATAGACACTGTCAAGGTCAGTCTGGCGTCACTCAAAGGTCGTCCATAAATCAAAGTCTCACCCTGACCTCTTGTAAGACTTGTAAAAACATTTTATATTGATAAAATCGGGCTAGTGATAAAAGGAACCACGAAATAATATGAATTTTTCTAAAGTGTAAAAAGAGAGACTATTTTCAAATAGTAGACAGGAAGTTATGACATTTCCAAGTATTATGAATATACATGGTGTTTTGTTTCATTAAAAGACTAGCTATATGTAGTGCTACGAGTGTTAAAACGACTGTAAACTATTTTCTTTGGTTACTCAGATAAATTTGCGGTAATCGCCTTTATTCAACTGGTTGATGGTTCTTTTTAGTTTTCACTATCGGTCCCATTTATTCTGTGTTTGTACAAATCCCCTAACTACTACCACGGTTTATTACTTTTTAGATGAAAAGGTGTCTCAAAGTTTATAAGAAAATTTCATTTATCAAGAAACGTGTTACCGCTTTAATAGTGGTCTAACATCGATCGATTCCAATCAAAAGTTTAACAATCTCCACAACCCCATACTGATACTGAAAATATATAGTAATGGAGCTCCATAAATTCTCCGATAACCATAACTTTCAAAAATTGACAACTGTTACTAATTATCAAATTTCAAGGAAGTTTATAAACTATGTTCTCTTTGCTTTTATCAACTGATCAACTTGGAGGTGCAACCAATTCAGACCCAACTTTCAAAATAAATCCCGGTTCCAAATTTTTTGAGGATTCTAAGCATTTCCTCATGAAATACAATACGTATTATTTATATTAACTTGGTACGAACTAAGGAAGCGAACATTTTGAATATATTTATTTAAACTAAGTTATGCTAATGACTAGAAGTACTGCAAATAAATTTTAGTATTTCCGCGATATTAAGCCCCTGTCATTTTCACTCAAAACAGTAAGGATGACTTTTTCAAAAGACTTATTTCTATAGTAACCACATACACTTTTTACTGTTCATTTACCGTCTTCTTAAAAATAAAATGACTCGACAACACAGGAGTTTTCTAAACAAGTGGTCATTATTGTTTAACAATCTCTATGATCTATTATAATGAAGCATTTTCTTTCTTCTACACATGAACAAGACAGTTAATATCGTTGTTTATAGTTGTCAAAGTCTAGTTGTTTCCATGGTTTTCATAATTTCTAGTATATGAAATGAATTTTTTATTCAAACCAACTTACTTTTCAATGTACTCCGCATATGCTTTTCTTGTCTCTATTGTGTTAACCTGTCAGTTAGTGTAGAAAATACTGGAACAAAACGTGCATTGATATCAAATATGACA